TTTTGCGGTAGGGCCGAGGGTGGGCAGTCGGCTCCATTTGCCGGACAAGTCTGGCGGCCGTCGAAACACGTAGTTGTCCGTCCCTTCGAGTAAGTTGCTTTGACGTGCTTGAACGGATAGGGTCCAAAAGGCCGTTTGCAACGGCAAACGATGTGGTCAATTCCAGCGCAGTGGCCGAAGGGGATGGAGGTGAGCCATTCTTGGCTGTGTAGAACGTTGACATTCGCTCCATAATATATTTCTATTCGTAATACTCTTTGCGTTCGGACTACAGCGATATATCGCGGGCAGATATTTTACGAAACGGAATGATCTTCTGTGCAGGGTTGCCGCGCCACCATAAATTCCACGCAGTTGCCAAATCGACACTTGGAAATTTGAAATTTTCTGGAAGCAGTGCAACCGACCACCCCATAAAAAGACAGAGCAGTTCAGATCGACTTCGTAGGTTGATGATGGGGATGGATTAGAAGGTTGAGCTTGTTGCACAACCGCTGCGATGGCTTGGGAGAGGGTGCTTTCAAAGAACGCCTGCGTGATGTTGCCAGCAGCAAGACCCCTTTCGTCGACGATTTGCCGGACCATTTAAAACAATATCAGGAATACTTTGGATCGATTTTTCATTTCGATCCAGTTGCCGAAGTAACTCCACGTGGGGCGGGATGCCCGAGGCAAACAAAAAGGTGGACTCGGTCCCCGAAAAAATCAATGGGCGTAGCTTTGACACCAAATCGCTACTCACAAATAAGGGCGTTGATAACAGTGCGTGATTTGGCGCGAACTGGCCAACCAAAAAATCGTGGTGATGTACGAGACTCGCCAATAACAGGCGCAAAACACCAAGTAGGTGACCATGGCCAAACAAACTTGGAAACACAATTGCCAACGCATCGTTGACTACGGGACACGCCATGCTGGAGAAATAGGGAGGCAGCTGGGCCAAGTTAACACTATTTATTGGGAGACCGCAAACAACTCGACCAGTAAATTGATCGCCCCCTGCTTCGTAGCGAAAATATCGCTCCATCACGTTGCCCAAGGACCACACACACCGCAAACAAACACTGACAATAGACGGGCCACCGGTACTGCCCGACGACACAAATGTAGCCGAGACCTTTCGAATGGATTGCGTGCCAATTTCGTTCGCTTTCTTGTCACTTCCAGCACCCACTTGCTGCAAGGAGGACAACAATCGCCCGAGGCTCTTGCCAAAGCGGTCCTATTGTTTGTTTAATTCTTAATTTGAATATCGAATGAAACATACCTTTTGCTTCGCCCCAGGAAAAAATTGTTGGGCAAGATTTGAGTGCTGCACGCCAAATAAATTCCCATTGCTAAAAACAGACACACTTGCGGCTTTAGAGGGTTCGCAAAGCAACGCTTTGGGTCCTTGTTTTTTGTTCCTACAAATAGTTCAACGATATTGTTCCACGCCAACCAATCGAAACAAAAATTGCGATAATACCTTCTTGGCTTGTCTTAGTTTTATGAAAGACGAACCCAATG